GAAAAGCATGGCTTCAAGGGCACTGAGACCCATTGCCTCTGTATGGTCCAGAAGTGAACTGTATTGAGCTGTGAGAAAGAACCCAGACAAGCAGTGGGCACACTTGGAGCACGGTGACTGTCCTCTTGCCCAGGCTGGCTGTTCAGTGGCAGAATGCAGAATCCCCAGCCATGAGCATCATTGCTGTGTCCCTGAGCCCAATGAACTCTAGCAGAAAGGGAAGTGGCTTATTCTGTGGCTCAGAGATTGTTCCTTCTTTTGCTTCACATTCCACTGTAAAAATAATTAGGCCCCATTAACCCTGAACAAACTGCTGAGCCTAACAAGCACTGTGGCAGGTGAGGGAAAATCATTGATTAGGGACTGAGAGGCCCTGAAGGTTTCCTCCTGTCTGACAGGAGACAGTTGTCCCAGAGGTCTTGGTGTCACTTTATGATAGTCCTGAGCTCTGCTATCCTGAAAGTACAAATAAGATCCAGGGAGCCCCACCTCCCCAGAAGGCCCACAGCTGCCAAGGTGAGTGGACATTTGGGTTACTTCATTTACTCATGTGTGCCTTGAAAATTTCCCTCCAAAGTGGGCATATTAGCCAGACTGGTCACCACCCGTCCCTCCCTTATGGCAGTTCAAGGTACTTCTTCAGAGGGAGGAATGTTATAGACAGCTAAGTTACACAAAAATAGTAGAGTTGTGTAGGGCCTGGCCTATGGAGGAGCCAGTGCAGAAGAGCAGATACCTTTTACAACTACTGGGAGACAGAAACCTCTGGTTTGGGGAAGACGTCATGATCAAAGATAAAATAAATGCACCCACGTCCTTCTTGAGGATAAATCTGTTCCTGACTAACCAGGGCAGTTTTGGAGAACTAGGCAGCTGAGAAACTTCTCTTGGCTTCTGATCTTTAAAAGGCAAGGGTGGGCTGGCAAGGTAGCGCAGTGGATTAAGCGCTTTCTATGGCAAATGAAAGGACCACGGTTTGATCCCTGTCCCTCATGCCACATAAGGCCCACTGGTCCCATCCTCTGGGATCACTGAGCTGGTGAGCAAGTTCTGCCTTGTGGCACATGCCTGCAATCCCAGCACTGGCAAGACTGAAAACAGGAGGATCACGTGTCCAAGCTGTGTAGAGAGACCCTGTACCAAATAGATAAAATGAAAAAGAAAAAAAAAAAAGGCAAAGGCTAAAGGACAGAAGGAGAAGGGCCCCATTCACAGAGGGAGGATTTCAGAAGTATTGAGGTTCTGTATCTCTGTGTAGGGTGAGATGTCATCAGCAAGCTCTGGCGTTGGACATGAAGCTGCTTGCATTTGTAGGGAATCAGAAACATGCAGGACTCTTTCGTGTTTTAAAAAGTTTTGTTTCATTTTACCTTAAATTCTACATGAAACATGCCTCTATCAATACCATTTCCTGTTTTAAAATTTGCAAATTTCATTTCTGGTTCTGTCTTGCATTTCAAACTTCTCCCAATTTATATTTTTTACTGTTATAAGTTTCCTATTTGCATTTCTAATTTTAGATTTCTCTTTCAATACTCATGCATAAATTTTCTACTTGAAAATGTGTAATATTATATTATTGTTCATTTATAGCTTTTTGAAACAGGACACTGCTGTGTAGCACAGGATGGACTTCAAGTTGCTATATTTCCCCTGCATCAGCTTCCTGAGTGCTCATTTTAAATGTATGAGCCATCATACCCACTATTTTAATATATTTATAAATTCATCTATTACATGTTTGTTTCTTAGGAGAACTCATAACAATGACTGAGCAGAAATATTATAATTCTTCTTTCAAGAACACTGTAATAAGAAATAACATAATTTAATTGTATCCTACTGCTTTGAATAAGTGGCAATAATCTCATATTTGGGAAAATGGCACTAAATAGATGCTCTTTTCTAAATGAACGGTTTGGTGTGATATCCATGGGTCATTTATTTATTTCTATTTTTTAATAATTTTATTGAGGGGCCGGGGAGATGGCTCAGTGGAATAAGCACTTCCCTGGCAAGCGCAAGGGTCTGAGTTCAATCCCCGGTTCTGCAAAACAAAACAAAACAAAACAAAATAATAATAATAATTTTATTGAGAAACAAATAGCAATGAGACAGTTTTAAAACTGATTAGTAAGACAGTTTCAATAATACATTGCATATTGTTGTCATAATGGTTATTCATTGTACAAGATCCTTTTATGATATCCTGTCCATAAACACTATTAGAACAAATCTTTCTACTCATTGAATTAAGAGAAAGTAGCTGTCTGTTTATCCTAACTATTTTGAATATACAGATACAAAATAGTCTTTCATTTATATCACCTTTTTTGTTTAGTTTTGTCAGAGAAGGGTATTCCATTGTCATTTAAATATTGTAGGTGTGTGAACTCAGCGAAATATTCCAATATAGTCCAGTAGTCCATAATAGTAGTGGGTTTTCAGCAGGACTGGCAATATCAGAAGTTGTTGACTTGAGCCTTTTATAGCTCAGCATATTAACATGGTTTTACTCTTTATATATAATTTTTAAACTTTTCTGCTGGATGGTTAAGACCAAGATAAAGCAAGACCTATAAAACAAGAAATATGGCTTTGTATCTGATAAGGTCAGTCAAATCCCCTCAGGATTTATTCTGAAAACCTGTACCTCAGATTGTAGAACTTTTGTCAGTGTCAGCCATGTGGATGAGTCACAGCCATTGCTTGGCCAATGTGCTCTCTGTGAAAGCCTGAGAGAATGTTTTCTCTCTATGTGATGCTCCTTAGGCACACTCTACATCATCAATCATTTCTTTGGGAGCCCCATAATCTCCTTGATCAGAAAATTTGGGACACCACTGAGTTACATGGTATAGGATGTCCTATTGCCTGAGTCTTCACTGACCTTGAAAGGCTATCACTATGGGTCATTTAATGTCTATCTAAATCCAAGGATTGGGACTGGGGAGATGGCTCAGTGGAATAAGTGCTTCCCTGGCAAGTGCAAGGGCCTGAGTTCAATCCTTGGTTCTGGGAAAAAATAAAAAATAAAATAAAATAAATCCAAGGAGTGCATTTTAAAGTTGTTCAGTAAAGCTTTTCCCAAAACAGTCTGGAAAATAAATGCCTTCTCCCTTTCTGATATTTCAACTTAATGAGAAATCAGGAGTCTTTTGTGTATGCCTCAAAACTGGTCCTAAATATCAATGAGAATTGTGAGTTTGAACCAAAAACAGGGGATTGAGGATATGGAAGCCATTTTTCTGACACACAGACAGAAAATTAACAGGAAAGATTTTAAAGGCCCATCAGGACATTGCCGTGTATGGAAGTATAATGGTTGCTAATAGATTACATTTTTTGACTCAACACTTGATAACCTGTCCTGACTCATAGCCAAGGTTGCTGGATTAATGTTGTAATATTTTGTGTGGTGATGTCTATTATCCCTGTTGCATTTTAAGAGGCAATAATAGTCTTTGTTGGGGACTACAGGAAGCAATATCAGATCATCTTCCAGGATTAAGGTCAGTGGGTTCCAGGCCTCCAGCCAACTACCAGTTTGTGCAGATCATGTACTCAGAGCCTTTAGAAAAAAGAAATCTAAATCAGATTTTAAATATTCTGTAGGAAACAGGAGGGTGAGCATACAGAAAGGCAGCCTACATACTGTGTCCTCACATATGCAAATCCTATGGTTTGTGCCAACAACAGAATTAATTTTATGCTGAAGAAAATGTCCATAATTTGATATAAATCCTAAATGAGAAATTGAAGCTCTCAAACAAACACTGGCTATAGTTTCATGTAATTTGCTAAGTTGGATGAAATACATATAAACAGGCTGCAAATTTCAGAACAATATTTTTTCCACTCATATTGTGAAATCATGACCCCCTCTTTGAGGGATCTCTCTTTTTTGCCAATATTGTCTCCACTCACTTTGCTAAAATGGCCAGTATTGGGGTGTTTTTAATTCTTCAAAAGTCATCACCTTAGGATAGTGAGAGGCAATGAATCATTCCCCTTCTCCTGGTCTTGTCCAGTAAAGGTTTGTGTGCAGAGAAATGAGCCTGGCTACATCTGAGGCCACGAGGTCTCCGTGGAACAGCTCTGCTCAACACTGGTAGGAAAACATCCCATGCTTGCTCTAGCACACCGTCTCTGGTACTGCCAATTACTATCTAATATTTTTAGGTAAGAAATTTTATCCTGATGGATTTTACCTGACTCAACTGTACGTTTTGGTTGCTAATAGAAAATGACACATTTTGAATTGATCATGAATGCTAGAAAACTATTGATCATTTATAATACTTGAATCATTGAATCAGTACAGGGTGTAGACTAAAGAAGTCATTCATCTATGTACACAAAACACACAAAATTTTGAAGTAGAAAAATGAAGTTTAAAACTTCCTGGAAAATGACCTGCTCCCCAAATTAGAGGCAGAAAGAAATGCTGACCAAAACAAGATACACTGTGGAAGCGAGAATGTGGCCACACATAACACTAGCTGAGGATGCTGAAAAAAACAGGATTCAGAAGTGTCTCAGGGGATTGCATAGCAGGCAGCAGGTTAAGCTGGACACTGGGGATGTTGGAATTGGAATATCAGAGCAGGACAGAATGAAAACAGGGAAAAACTCCATCAGGGTAATTTGTGCTCCATTTACCCACATGGAAACTGAATGTAGGTGGGATATAGAAATACTTGAACAAGTACATTAGTTGTCTAGTATGGAGAGGAATACAGTATCTGGGCTGAAAATGATGATTTCTGAGTTCTATCTCTCAGGTTGACATTTGAAGCTGCATAGACTAATGCACATGTTGTAAAATGAATATGTGTTATTTATAAAACTGCACACTATCACATATAACATTCTTGTCATCTATACTCCCAAAAATGTTGTGCTATGAAATATTTTGTGCAGATACGTATGATCATTACTAATGCTTTCTTCAGAAAGGTATCTACTGAATCCAACCTTTTCTATTACAGCTGTAAGAAATGATTTTGATCCTTGTCAAGGGGACAATCCTTGCCTTTCTGACTGCACTTGGCACTGTGGGGAACATCATCATTTTTGTAAGTCACACACACATGTTTTGGGGCACTGAGAAGAAATCCATGCACCTTATTCTGATCCATTTGGCCTTCACAAATATCATAATGCTTCTATTTAAAGGCATTCCAAGGACAATAGCAGCTTTTGGAGTGAGAAACTTCCTCGATGACATAGGTTGTAAAGTCGTGTGTTACCTGGAGAGAGTGGCCAGGGCTCTCTCCGTCTGCACCAGCAGTCTCCTCACTGTGGTCCAGGCTGTCACCATGAGCCCCAGTCATTCCAGGTGGAGGAGGCTCCAACCCAAGTCTGCATGGCTGATTGTTACTGTATTTCCCTTTCTTTGGATATTTAGTTTTTTGACAAACATAAATTTACTCCTTTACATCACGAGTGTAAACACATCACAAGTTACCACAAGTGAGTACTATTGTTATTTTCAGCCAGAAAATCAGAAGGTAAGATGGAGCATTCTCAGTGCGATGGTTTTTCGGGACGCTCTATCTCAGGGCGTCATGTGCGGTGCAAGCGGCTACATGGTGTTTCTTCTCCATCAGCATCACCAACGTGTTCTCCAGCTGCGGAGCTCCAAGTTCTTCTACAAAACTCCTGCTGAGATCCAAGCTGCCCAAAGTGTTCTCTTTCTGATGCTCTGTTTCCTCCTCTTTTATTGGGCAGATTGTGTTTTTTCTCTACTTCTGAATTCCTTCTTGCAGAATAATCTCATATTAAATGCTCGAGAATTTTTCACACTTGGTTATGCAATTCTCAGTCCATTTGTACTGATTCACAGAGATGGACATATTTCTGAATGTTACTCTACTCATGGTAAGAGAACTTTGAGAAGATATTTTTTCCCTGTATCTTTTCAGTAAGCAAATTTGAAGTATCTTTTACATTCTTTTTAAGTCACATTTATTTTATTTAATCTCCACTTATTCAAAATACAATAGGTGTTCGGAGTGGTCAAAATATATTATATACCTGAAGTCACTTAGCTAATCTCTACTTCTTTCCTGAAACATATCATAAAAAACTCATTTTTGTTATTTTTCAGACATGCAAATTTGAAACAATACCAGAATTTGAAAATTTTGCAACAAGAAAAATCTCATAACCATGTATGAAATGTTCAGTTTTTAAACCTTGAATACAAACCCATGAGTTTAGATACATTGAACTTAATCCAGCAGTATAAAAATGAGTACTTTCTGTTCCACTCATAATTTGGCAATGTAAAATAAATTTAATAGATAACCAAAGATACATGCATATTTATATCCAGTAACATTAATGATTTTCATTTGGTAAAGTCTGTCTTATCTTTGTATTCCTTTGCAATTCTGCTTTCTAGTAAATTACTATAGGTGAATACTATGTTGTACACAACTAAATTTAAAGTTGTAGAGAAGTGTAACAATATAATTACGAAGTACTATTTTGCATTGTATTAATCTATTATACAAAAATGTACATTGAGTGATTTTTCTATTACAATAACACTTTAAATATAGATGTCTTTCATTTTTTTCTATACTTTTATTGAGAGACAAATAGCAATGAGACAGTTTCAAATCAAATTAGTAGGACAGTTTCAATAATCAACACATTGCATACTGTCTTCCTAGGGGATATTTGTTGTACAAGATGCAGACATGATATCCTATTTGCATAAACTATTAGAACAAAGTCTTCTATTCATTGAATTAAGAGAATGTGCTTGTATATCTATCCTAACCATTTTGAATACACAGATACAAAATGGTCATTCATCTGTGTCCCATTTTTTTTTTGTTTAGTTCTGTCAATTAAATATTATCAGTGTGTGAACTCAGCAAAATATTCCAAAACAGTTCAGTAGTCTGCAATAGTATTGGGTCTTCTGCATGACTGGAAATGTCAAAAGTTGTTGACTGAGTCCCCTACAGCTCAACACAACAACATGCCTTTACCTCTGATATTTCATTTTTATACCTTTCTGCTGGATGGTTAAAACCAAGATAAAGCAAGACATAAAGACATATATAACAAGAATTGTAGCTTTTGTATCTGATAAGGTCAGGCAAATCCCCTCAGGATTTACCTTGAAACCCTGTACCTCATTTTGTAGATCCTTTATCAGTGGCCAATTTGCTGTCTGTGAAAGCCTGAGAAAATATTTTCTCTCCATGTAACTCTCCTTAGGCATACTCTACATCATTGATCACTTTCCTCTTTGGCCCCATAATCTCCTTGATCAGAAAATTTGGGACACTACTGAGTTACATGATGTTACAGTACAGGGTCTCTTATGTCCTGAGTCTTAATTGACCTTGGAAGGCTAGGGACAAAATGTTGGTTGTCCTTCCAGCCCTCCTTTTTCTTTAATTTGTGGTAAGCAAACATAGGTTGTTAACCATCCAGAAGAGAAGCTTATTGTTATTACCATACAACCTAGGCTGTTGAGCTTAATCTCACTATCTGTCTGAATATCAAACTTCTTTGGCATAACATTGAACAGGTATTTTTCATGAAGTATTGATATGTT